CCAACTCACAAACGAAAAGAGTTGCCATGTGGACTGCACCAAGGGCAATTTTATTAACATCTATATATGATTAAATTATATGTTTCTTCTGTTTCTTCAAGGCCGCTCCACCCTGCCCCTGCCCTCCTTACTTAATTAAGCAAGGGCAAAGTAAGCTGCTACCTGGACGCAGGATAGCTCACGCCCTATTCATTTCGTTCCTGTAGGAAACAAAAAGTGGCACTGCAGCCAAAGCACTCTCGGTTTGTCGTGAGGCTGAGGCTCTTGAGAGGTCCCCCAAACCTAGGTGCTGAAAAAGCATGGGCTGCTAGCTGCGCAACGCATACAAAATGCCTTCAGTGCTCAAGTCCAGCTCTGATGCGTATCACGTGCGAATTCAACCGAGCGGAGGCTCTTGAAGGCCCGTGGAGAAGCCACCTACAAACCTTTACACGACTGAGATGGCTTCAATTTGCAGATGGCCACTTTTATATACTTTTTTGGTTGAGGGCCACCCCGAATCAACATACAAGTGGACACGTTTTCCAGTGCGCGCCCGCCATAAAACGAGAAGTTCGGTGTGGAAAGAACCGATATTCTTAGGACTATCCTTCCCAAAGCCAACACGGACACGGAAACCTTGTTGAACCGAGGATTTCCAAAAAACGTGACGAGGGCTCTTCTAATTGGGTCCAACGTTGCTGGTTTTGCCCAGGGTTTGCCGAGGCTGCAAACAGTTGGCCATTGGCCAGGTGGCTGCTGAAGGCAATCAAAAATGCTTGCCCCAGTCATGGAGGTTGGGATACCTGTGAGCTTCACGACGGCTGAGGGGCCACTGGACACCTGACATGAGCAGCATTGGCTTCACATGGCTGAGATGCAGCTGGTGCAAGCCTAATTTGGGAGGTCTGTAGGTCTGTAGGTGGGCAAAAGTGATCACAAGTTTGCGGGGCACATCATGACTGGTCTCAGTTGTTGCACGTGTGAAAGTCTCTCAGTGGCGCCTCCTGCTTTCCCAGGTTTGCCTGGGCCTGTGCCTCGACTAGCAAAGTGGGCTTGAGCTCTGACGCGTCTGAGACTAGGTCCTGGCGAAGTGGTCAGCCAAAGCTAGATGAGTGAGAATAATGGCCTTGTTGTTTCATTATGATTCGACATCTTGGATTCTCCAAGGGTTTTAACCACTAGCGAGGCAAACCATGCATAGTCATTGTAGTACTGTATGTCATAGTCAAGCACCCCCAAGCACTTCCCCCATCCTTCAGCGCCACACCAAGCAACTTCGCACGGTTCAGCGGAGGACCAGAGTAACCGGGAGGTCTCCTGATGCCCAGGACCTTGTTCCTGGGCCGCAAAGAGTGTCGACGCCAGTCTTGGTTTGTCCCTTACGGCATACTCTCATCCAGTGGCATGTTCGTGTTCCAAAGCACCATGGAATCGATGACAATCAAGTTCAATGAAGTACCTGAAAGTTTGGGATAATGTCAGCAAAACCCCAACTCCACGATCTCGCCAAGGCTCTGAAAGTTGATCCCATGCAAAGCCACAGCAATGGCAGCACTCAAAGGTGTGGCGAACAGCACCTCAGCGCCTTGGCTGCCCCCTGTGCCGCTTTGCATCTCCACAGCCTCGACCACCTCAAGTCAAATCCAAACGAGTTCACAGAATGGCTCAGAACGACTCAATGAAGCGACATAAATCCGAGCCTGCTAGTGATTTCATTGCACATTAGTACTCAAATATACTCAAATGACTTCCGGCCTTGGCGTTCTCACTGCCTTGCCATTGGGGCAATGTGTGCCCTGTGGCTGTGAAGATGGCGCCAGTGAAAAAGTCCGAGAGGTCTTTAGAGTTTGCAGTGGCCGGCACATTGGACAAAAGCACCTGCTGTGCATTGACGAAGGTCTGCAATCATTTTATGATGTGCCATGATTGTCACCTAGTTATTCAAGGCATTATCACTATCTGAGTTCATTCGGAATGGCGGCAAAAACTGGACAAGCCCGTCATGTCCGCAGGCCGCAAGCGAACAGAACAGCAACTGCAATTCAGACTTGAGGGACCCCAAACGACTCCAATTGGAAGGTCACCCAAAGTGGCCTTTCGCGGAAGGAGGTCCTTGGCGCTCTTGGAATCCTGGCCAGGGGGAATGTACAACCAAAATGCTTGGCAGGGCGGCATATGGGTGCCCGGTGCCCGGTTGCACCACTTATATACACACCAAATCTGGGCAGGTCAACATGATGTATGCTCGAAACTCCAACCCGCACCCTGAACAATACCCGTGTGCCAACCAAAACATTGGACTTGACACTGTTGAATACCGACTGCCCAGATCAGCCCGGCCTCGGCTTGGCTTTCCAGTTCGGCTGGAGCTGAGGCTGGGGTTGGCATGCTGGCTTTGCCTGCTGGGACCCGCCGCTTGGTTACAATGAAGGTCACAGGTCCATGAATGTCCATGAATGTCCTGGTCTTTTCCATGCGAGCTATGAAGTAAGAATGATTCAGAAGATTCGTTCTCGACTGTCAAGTCCATATGCTACGTATATACTAGCTGACTATCTTTGTATATATATATATATAAATTTGCTAGGATATGCTAGGAATTTAGTATACGTTCGCATGAGGTCCAGGAGCCTGCAATAGCTGGCCGCTCACCCCGCCGGCGCTTTTTCCATGGAGCGGCTTCTGGAGCCTCTTCCGCCTACATCCCATTCCCAGATCGAGGTTCAAGAAACGCAAACAGTCTCCGCATTCGACCCATCCTATCCAACTTTCTGTATATACCACACTTTGTTTCTTTCGTTCTCCCCAATTTTTTTCGTCTTTCGGCCTGGGGTCTTGAACGCAACTACGTACCGCAAGGAACCTAATAGAAATGGCCTCCACCCAAATAGCATCTATATTATATATAGTAGCGATGGCCTCCAACGTACTAGCGATGGCCGCGATGGCCTCCAATGCACTAGCGATGGCCGCGATGGCCTCCAACCTCCTAGCGATGGCCTCCAACCTCCTAGCGATGGCCTCCAACCTACTAGCGATGGCCTCCAACCTACTAGCGATGGCCTCCAACCTAATACAAGGAACCACACCGACTCACTTAGTGCTGCACTTTGCTGGCCTTGGGAGAAACCGGTGAGGCTTCTCTGACTGGGCTATGCGACGGAGGAGCCATCGGCGCCGCCTGAGGTCGCAACGTTGTTGTTCCTTCGGTCATGATGTTTGGGAACTGCCAAGTCATCGACACCAATGCAAGTCAAGTCACGGGCATCTTGGGTTTAGATTCCAGGGTTGGAGGCTCCTCGGCGGCCAAGGATGGCATCTCTTGTTACATGATCACTGAGCATCCAGTGTGCAAATCTACGAGGTATATATATATAACTCTTGGCGCAAGGTTGACACCCCTGCCTCAGCCTGCACAAGACCATCTGCCTTGAAGGGAGGCGCCTTGGGAGGCATCACCGGTCGGGCCTGGCCAACTGCAGCCCGAAACGAAGCTACTGATGTTGCCTTCACAAAGCAGTCCACACATGGGTGACACCTCCTTTTCTGAAAAATTAGGAGTCTTGCTCTGACATGCTCTTAGTCTGGGCCTTGATGGGCACCTCTTCCAGTGGTGGTGGCACAACCACCGAGCGTTTTGGCTCTGGTGGCGCCTTGATTTCCACCGGTGCTGGCAAAGATCCCCTTAGTCTTGCGTGTTTTCACAATAGTCCCAAGGTCGCACTTGCAAAACTGGGCAGCATCTGCCATTGATTTACGTTCAATACTCCAAGCGTCAATCACACCCGTCAAACAGTCAAACACTGTAATTACATGTAATTACTGTCTTGGACTGGCTGGGCGGGCGGCCAACAAGAATATCCAACGTTTTTGCAACGCGCTTCATCCAAGGCACAGCTTTTTGGCAGCGGCTTTGAGAGTCTCCGGCAATGAGCCCAGGCCCAGGCTCTGGTTGAGGGATTGGGCCCGTCGCTGGTGGCCGGCATGCAGAGCCCGCTCCAGGTGTCGCAAGCGATGCGACTTGAAGACCAAGGCCAGCTGGCTTCGAATCTGCACCAGAATCAGAACAGGACTTGAAGGATTGGAAGAGACCGCCGTGAATCAATCGGCAAAGAAACGTTGGAAATCGATGTTCTCAAATCCGCCCCTCCTTGTTCTGCATCAATTTGTACCTCTGCCCTTCAGGCGGGTTCCGCTCGAAGTTCGGGGGCTTTCGCAACCCGTCCTCGACCAGTTCAATCACGGGCAAACCGAACCCAAATCATGGGAAATTGGTCCAGTCACTATTAATCAGATAGGCCGTGCCGTCTCTCTGTCCAAATATTTTGGCCAGTATGAATTAGCCCCATGCTCTGCAACATGCAGTGTGTGCTACAGTTTTCTGCAATGTTCATCGCACCGCTACAAGTTGTAGCCGCTACAAGCCTGGACTAAACATACCCCATCCTCCAAGCCTCACTCACAACAGCCTGTGCACGCCAGCAGGGACATCGACATGCTGAAAGAAACTGTCCTTCTCCTCCGGCTCCTCGCAACTAATCTGACGGCCATCAGAGCCCCAAAAGCACCACCTGCAAGTGTAAACAATGTGCTCCGGATCTGTGAGCAATTGTGAAAAAATCTGATGAGCACGACTTTTAATCCAATAATGAATTGCGCGTTAATTTAATTGATCTGAAGAAGGCCTCAACCTACAAGTGTTGGATAGTTGGGATTGGCCGATCAATATATAAATGGCACTATGCTACTGCATCAACGGCATTGAAGCTTCTCACATCAAAAGTTCTTATCCAAGTGCCAAGATACTCATTGGAAAGGGGGGCATGGGTACTTCTGAACCGAGAAATTTGTGCTCGAGCTGTTCCTTAGCAAGGCAGAAGCGCAAACTAACCCACACTCTTGCTCACTGGAAGCAAGTCCAAAAAGAATTATATAGTTTCGATGTTTCTTCATCGGTCTTACAGTTGCAAGCGTGGTTGATCTGCAAAAGCCACAACAGTTGCTGAGTCCTCTCGGCCTTTTTCTCCCGACGAGCAACCTTTGGCCGAAAGCTGGAATCGCTCACGGTGAAAATTGGAGTAGAACGCAGCTGTTCATGAGTGGCTGGCAAGGGATTCCAAAGGAAAGTCTCAGGTTGCGAATCCAGTGGGCTTTGGGCTTCCAAAGAGTTGCAGGGCCAGCCCAGCCCACAGACTTCCAGACTTCCACACTTAAATGGATCTATTGGAGTTCAATTTGGTTGACCAGCACTTGTCAATCTCCACCACTTCAAACTAGGATCTGCAAATTCTGTCGGCTGCACCATTGGTCACTTCCCTACGATTTCGCTGGATAGTGCCTTGCACCGAAAATCGAAGATCCCACCCGCACAGATGTCGACCCTTCGCGGATCGCATTCTCATAGTCGGCACCTTGCTGCTTGGGATTGGGCGCAGCACAGATTTTTGAGGCTGACTTGTGTCTTCAACCCGAAGAAAAGCGGGAGAAAACCTGCAGTCATTGGGACGTTGCATAAACGCAACATGCCAATCCCCTGACAATTTCGGTAGACACCCGGGTATCCCCACGCTATAGATATAAATCGGTGACCCGAGCTTAAACTCTATAGGAAAATAACATCTCTGATTGCCAGGGCACTTACCAAAAAATCAATACAAAGAAAGTCGTGTCTCTATACAATCAGGGACCCCTGGTTTGCATTTAGATCCTGGCGCAAAAAATAGAACTCCGATGAAATGTCCGATCAATTGTGCAAATGACATCTCCGATGACATCTTTGGCAAATAACCCGATGAATTGTCCGATGAGTTTTGTTTACAAACAGTTTCCTTGCCGGAACATATTTTTGAGGGTGAGGGTGTGGGGTGAGATCTTTGAAGGTGACGGATGTGGATAGGTGCATACAAACATCCCCATGTACACAAAGAAAACCAAACAACTCTTTATATAATTTACGTCAAAGGGCATTTCTCTATAAAATCTCCACCCCCCCTGTCTATATCACAGTCTGAATAGCATCAAGCGATTCTCTATAGACACGTGATATCCAAGTATCTCCTTCTATATTCTATAATTTCTATATCAACCAAGTGTGCTCCATAAAAGGTGTTTTCCTTACCCGGGCATCGCGATTGTAACATGATGCATGCCAAGTGCGAACTAGGTGGGTTCAAAGCCTTGGGCTACGGGGCGCTTGTCTTTTCTGGTGGCAGCAATCGCTACATATGATGCACAAGCCTTCCCTTGAGGATGGCTGAGAAAGAAACTACCCACACATTCATGTTTTGCCTGAAGCGTGCATCTTGCAAGCGCACACGGTCCGCAGCTTATTCATGCTACGTTGTTTTCGGATAACGAAGGAAGTTCACAGAACCAGTCTCTGGTTCTTGCGCTTTGTAGGCGTTGCCCAAACCCAAACCAGCCCGTTTGAATGTCAAGGTGCTCATGCCCATCGAAAGCTCCAAGGCATCTGTCTCCACCCCTATAGCCGCCGCGGCCTTCGGCTGCACGTCAGCGGAACTGTAGTCTACATCAGTCTATATCATTCCATATCGACCGACCCTGTGTGCACACAGGAAAACATACTTCAGCTGGGCACTACTTTGGGCACTCCGTGCCCCAGGCTCTCAAAGGTTTGAAAGAGACACTCGAATGCCGCCGAATACCTAGAAGAAGCCTAAATGAAAAGTTTGCCTGAGCAATAAGGGCAGTATGCAATACAGTCCAACCACCCCCAAGGCTGCACAGTCTGAAGTTCCAGTCCCAGTATCAAGTCTCGGCAAGGGAACGATCCACGAACAAAGCTGCACGACTGTCGTGCTCAAAACCGCTGCAAAGGCTAGACAGTTGTTCTGGTAACAAAAGGGGCAACAAAACGGTACAAAAGGGCCCAAAAGGAATTGAATGGTCATCACAGCAGGTACGTCGCTGGATGTCTCCAGCGAACAAGAATCCAAGACACACAAAAAACGAGCAAGCCAAGTTGGCCACAGAAAGAAATGGAGGAATTAAAGAGCCGGTTGCATGTGGTTGCACTGTTCATTTGCACCATTGTTCTGGGGCTTCACAAGAACCAAATATACACCGACCGTGATCTGGGACACTTCACTGGACACGTCCATACTGTGGTCTCCAAGGAATTGATATGCTTGCCTAATCTTGCCTATCTCAATTTCTGTAGGGATGACAGAATCTGATAGAACTATTCATGGAAATGCGTGGCAAATGGGCTGCAGGGCATGGCAGCAGAACTTGGCAGAACCATGCAGGGGGTCGACGTCTGATTCGGTAACCAAACGGTCTGATTCGGTAACTATGATTCGGTAATCAAAAAGTGCTGATTCGGTAACCAAAACGTCTGATTCGGTAACCAAAACCGCTGATTTGGTAACCAAAACCGCTGATTCGGTAACCAAATCCGCTGATTCGGTAACCAAAACCCGCTGATTCGGTAACCAAAACCGCTGATTCGGTAACCAAAGCCGCTGATTCGGTAACCAAAGCCGCTGATTCGGTAACTAAAACTGCTGATTCGGTAACCAAAGCCGCTGATTCGGTAACCAAAGCCGCTGATTCGGTAACCAAAACCAGGAAACCAAAACCAAAAACATTTCCAAAAGAAGAAACTGATGACCCGGGCAGTAGTAGTAGTAGTAGAAGAAGAAGTAGTAGATGGTGGTAGCGCCACCGATGCAAAATCTCTCCGCGTAGCAACAGGAGAAACGTTATTATCTTGGCCATGATTCCCCCCCACCCCCCCACCCCACACTCCTCCTGCCGTCCGCCACTAATTCTTAATTGAATGAACGTAAAAGCCCTTTGCATCCACATGGAACGTTATTATCTTGGCCATGAACCCCCCCCCCAC